GTATTCATCATAAAGGCGACAGAGGGCCAGACTGTCAATTCTACCGGCACCCAGTTTACCTGTTGGGCCTCGATTTTCTCATCTGTAAAATGGGATTGTGAAAATAAGATCCTGGGTGCCGGCTGCAGAAGTGCAGGCATCAGATTTGGAGGAGTGAACTTTTAGCACAGTGTCCACAAATACAAGAGGACTTCAGTGTCATCTCTTGGCTCCATTTTCCCGAGACACCTGTCTTCCTTTTTTCCTAAACATATATTTTAAATTGTAACAGCTGTATTGGCATATAATCCACACACCGTATAGTTTCCTAGTTTAAATATGAAAAAAGAGTTGTGCAGTCACCAGTACAATCTTAGAATATTTTCGTCTTCCTTGCATTCATTATCATTAGCTCCCCGTTCCCCGTGCCATAACCCCAAGAAACTATTAATGCAGTCACTGACCAAGAACATTTTGAAGCCCCTCTGTAGTTCATTGATTTGCGGTATTGGTCTCTCTGAGCCTCTGTTCCCCGTCTGTGAAATGGTGGTCTCACAAAGCCTCTCCAGGGCTAACATGTGACTCTTAGCCATCATCCAGTCCCTAGGCCATCCATTGTTCAAAACAGGCCTGGAGTACTCTCTCTTTCTGATTAAAATCCAATGGCTTAAAAAAAAAAAGTTTAATCACTTAAAAAATATCCAATGTATCTTTCTACATTAGTGGAAGCATATACCATGTTCATGGATAGGAAACCTTACTATTGTAAAAATGTCAATAATACCCAGAGTGAGCTTCAGAAATAATGCCATCCTAACCCAGACTTCAGCACTGTTCTTTAAAAAAGATGGAAAAACTAATCAACTTTATACGGAAAAGAGAGAGATGCTGGACAAGCAAGAGAAGGACAAAGCAGAACCCCCACGCGACCCAATCTAAAAATGTCCCCAATGATACAATCGCTGGAGCACCCAGGAGTAAATCCATCCACCGATGGAAAGCTGATTAAAAATTTTTTTTAATTAAATCATTTTATTAGGGGCTCTTACAGTTCTTATCACAAGGAAAGCTGATTTTGACAAAAGGCGGAAACTCATTAGATGGAGGATATTTAGGAAATGGTGCTGGCAAAACTGGATGTCCATTTGCCGAAAAAGAAAATAAAAAATTTAAAAATAAAACAATTTGCCTATCTTTTACATTAAAAAACAAAAAAACAACACCCCCCCCCAAAAAAAAACCTCAAGATGGATCAAAGAGCTAGATGTAAAGCCTAAACTAACAAAGACGATCAATGAGAAAACAGAGACCCCAATACATGGCATAAATACTCTGCCGAATGTGACTGAAAACACATAAATGTCAGAAGGTAAGCCAGATGGTTGGGATCTCTTAAGAATTAGACACTTGTGCACATCAAAAGATTTCACCAAAAGATAAAAAGAGAACCCACAGGCTGGGAATTTTTTTTGGGGGGGGTGCGTAATCACATGTTGGACAAGGGACTAATCTCTCAAAGTTACAGATAACATCAGCCCTTTATCAAGGAAAACACAAATCATTTAATTAAAGATGGGGAGACACTTCACCCAAGAACATAGCAGGTGGCCAAGAAACATGAGGTAATACAGTCATTAGCTACCCATTAGAGAGATGCATATCAGAACAACAGTAAAGTAATCATCTCATCCCTGCATTAATAGCAAAGTTCAGAAAAAAACGAATGCTGAGAAGCATGTGGAGAGACTGGGCCTCAGATACTGCTGGTGGCAGTGAAAATGAACACAAACCAAACTCCTGCCTGACCAAGTTCATTCTGACTCATAGTGACCCTACAGGACAGGGAAGAGCTTCCTCCGTGGGTTTCCGAGACTGTAGCTCTTTATGGGAGTAGAAAGCCTCATCGTTCTCCCATAAAATGGGACAACCGCTGGAAAACGGCGTGGTGCTACCTTCCAAATATGGATGTAGAAATATCACATGCTCTAGCGATCTCACCACGAGGTGTACACCCTCGAGGAATACAGAAGTGTAACACAGCACCTGAGTATCGATAAGCCTGGCATAACAACATTATGCCGAGTGAAATAAGCCAATCAGAAGGACAAATATTACGTGAGACCCACTGTGACAAAACGTCGAGTAGTTCATACAAACAGCGACATTCTCGAATGGCTACCAGGGGTGGGAGGAGAAGGGCGAGTAGGTCACTTCACTGGAGGGCAGACACGAACTTGGCTGAAGGGGGAGGCCATGTACAATATGGGGGCAGTCAGCAGTCGGTGAACACGGCAGAGGAGGACCAAGGGAGGAACATAGTCAAACACAACAGAAGTAAATAGGGGTGTATAGACAATGCTGCCAATAACAGTGTGAGTGGGTGCACAGACAGACAGACATGGACTATGCCCATGAATGGAAAGGGGGGGGGGTGTCCAGTTGATCTTTGCGAAATAAAAAAGGATTTTCTCAGAGGGCACTGTTCACCTGCAATCAATCTCGTGTCCGCTCAGAATTTCTGGAGTAGTTTTGTGTTTCCCGTAGGCCAAAAACTTTCAGTTCCCAAGCCTGGTATTCAAAGCTCTTCACCATCTGATCCCTGTCATTCCAGTTTTTAAACTATATAGAGATATAGATTTTTTTTTTTTAAAAAAAAGACTGTGGGGGCAGGGAGAAAATGAGCTGATAGCAAGGGCTCAAGTTTTGAAAAAGATGATGACAACATATGGACAGATGTGTTTGACACAACAGATAAATGTGTGGATTGTGATAAGAGCTGTAAGAGCCCCCCATAAAAATGTTTTTAAAAGATTGTGATTTAGGTGTAGGTCCTGAGTTTTGCACTCAGCAGCTCACATTCACACTGTGTGGGCTCATCCAGTTGCATCCCCTCAGCCTTCTCTCCCAGTCACTCAGCATGCCCGCC